TTTGTGAGTTACTACTTTTGTTGAGAAAACCTGACTGAAATGGAAATTGCTTTTCATTGAAGACAACGTGTCTGGACACGTATACTCGACCAGTTGAACTAAGACACTTGTAACCTTTATGTGAATTATTGAAACCAAGGAATACACATTTTGTAGAATGGAAACTGAACCTATGATCCTGGTAAGGTCTTAGACAGGGAAAAGAAGCACAACCAAACACTTTAAGTGACTTGTAGTCTGTTTGCTCATTATTTAGAACTTGACAAGGTGATTTCATTTGAAGAACTGGTGTAGGTAATTTGTTAATGAGGTAAGTGACTGTGTGAAATGACTCCCACCAATAATGCAAGGGCATGCTTGCTTGAGCAAGAAGAGTTAAGCCAGTTTCTGTAATGTGTTGATGTTTTCTTTCAGCTCTACCATTTTGGGCTGAGGTATGAGGACAGGAAAGTCGCATATCAATCCCTGATTGTTGAGTTAATTCAGTAAATGTCCTGAACTCACCTCCCCAATCTGATTGAAGTGCTTTAATTTTTCTATTAAACTTGTTTTCAACAAGATTTTTGAATTGAATAAATGAGTTCAAAGCTTCAGATTTTTTTCATAGGGTATATACATGTGTACCTACTGTGGTCATCTATGAATAGAATGTAATACTTAAAACCAGAGGTTGACTGTAAAGGTGCAGGACCCCAAACATCCGTGTGAATCAAGTCAAGAGGGGTTGATGCATGTGAGGTAGAAAGTTTAAAAGGCAAGGAATGTGCTTTGCCAAGTTGACAGGCATCACAAAAGTGATTAGCTTCATTGACATCAAGTTTTTCATTACAAAATCTAAGCACTTGAGACATCACAGGTTTTGAAGGATGTCCAAGCCTCATGTGCCACAATTTCAATTTAGACTCGTACTCTGTGGCACTTCTAGACTGAACAACAAAAACTGAAGAGTTTGACTTATTTGAGGGGAACCTATTTACTTGATCTGGGAGTTCAATCTGATACAGCCCATCCTTAATCTTCCCTTTCAGCAGCACCTCCTTCGTCTCTTTGTCCTTAACAGTACAAAAATTAGAATGAAATTCCATAAATACAGCATTATCAGATGTTAATTGTGAGACACTTAACAAATTCTTCTTGATGGAAGGTACAAGCAAAACATTACTAAGAACCAAGGAGTTGTTGTTCTGTGTGCTCAAGTGATTTGTGCCAATGTGAGAGATGTGAAGTTTGTTACCATTACCAACAACCAGACTTTCCTTACCACCATACTCATGTGGCTCAATCAGATTTCCCTTGTTAGTAGTGACATGATTGCTGGCACCTGAATCTGCAAACCAAGCTGGATCTGCAACAGTCGTGGAAGAGGCTATAAGAGCAGATGGTTCTGAGGAGTTATTTTGATAATGGTGATCAGGCTTAGTGCCCATATACCTCTCATCATAACGGTTAAAGCATCTTGCTGCTGAATGGTTGTTCATCCCATAAATTTGGCATGGCCCTTTACTTGCAAACTGTCTGCCTTCTCTACTTCTATTTCTCCCTCCCCTGTAGTTGTTACTTCTTCCACCATAGTTAAACTTTCTTCCTCTATTAGTATTTGAACTGTGAATGAAATTTACTGAGGCTTCTCGTAAGTTAACTGAAGCCAGACCATTTTTCAGAGTACTAAGGTGTTCAATTCTGCTCTTATAAGTCATGAGCACAGACTGCAATTCATGCCAAGAGATGGACTCTCTGCTGTTAATTTGAACTACTATAGGGGTATACTCTTCATCCAATCCAGCTAGCACTTGAGTAACAAGATCACTGTGAGGAATGATCTTACCAGCAATTTCAAGGTTGTCTGCTAGTTGCTTGATTGTGTTGAGATATTGATCAACACTCATTGCTCCCTTTCTAGTCCTTTGTAGTTCACTGATGAGGAAGATTACCCTTGATTTGTTCATGGCTCCAAAGCTCTCCTAAATAGCATTCCAAAGATTGCAGGAGTTAGACGATCCCATTACTCTCATTGCAATTTCAGGTGTCATTGACGAATACAGCCAACCCATCAATAGTTGATCAGTAGACATCGACTTTCCATATTCAGCATTAGGAGCCATTTCAACTGTAACTTCAGTTAAGCCAGTAGATTGTGTTGCTAGGAACTCTGCTAGACAGCTTTCGGTTCCTGTGATGAAACCTTCTAGATTATGTCCTTTGATGATTGGCATCACCATGTTCTTCCACAACAGAAAATTATTTTTGTCAAGTTTCACTGGTGGAACTTGGGTCAGGCTTATCCCAAATGATGGCATCTGATTTCCTCCCAACATTGGAGGCACCAGTGTATTAGAAGTTAGCTGAGTTGATTCTGCATTATCATCAGATCTGGTGTTAGCCATTGAGGCTCTGATACCAAGTTGAAAATAAAAACAGAATTGAGAACTCAAAAGAAATGAAGAAGACGAAATCATTTATATAAAGCACAATGGCTGTTCTTTTATACAAGTACAGAGTCAGTGAACTAGAATAAAAAAATGTGATGAACACGTGAAGAAATAGTAAATTACAACAGTAAATTATGGTCCCAGAATGGTGAAGAAGTAATAGGACAATTCCTGTACACACACCCATGCTGAAGTAGGTCACTAGCTATCAGTAAATATTTTAACAATCGAAATTATATTATAGGTTATTGAAGATGATGATTAGAATTTGAAGCCAGAAAAGTTGGAGTGGGTCAGTATCAACAACCCACAAGCCATCGTCGGCCAACTCCAATTAGCAATCGAGTCGTAGCTTCGGGTCCTAGCCCAGTCCCAACCCTATCATCTAGTCAAAATCTTCTTTTGGCCAACTCCTTGGATGAAATAACCCTTTGCAACAACAAGACTGCGGCTCATTCACTGTAAATGCCATTCTCTCGCATGAATCCGATGTCAAAGATGAGTTTTGCACAGCAAGATAATAGTTAGGTGCTTTGGAGATAGGTGTTTGACATGTGGCCTAATTGCCAACCAGAATTTCTTTTGCAATTAATACTGAAATATCATATTTCATGGTGTATGAACTTTCTATTCAATTTTGAGTTTTAACCAAAAGGATGTCTTCCAACTATACATGTAGATAAATACATGCTTTGTTTTAGAAATGAATTTTATCAATATATGTATAATGCAATTGCAAGTTTAAGTTCAATTTGGAATAGTGCTCTTTTTGTGTTTGCTCTGTAATGCTACAATCAAGATTACTCTGCTTCAATTGAAAACATAATCTTATTCTATTTCCTTTTATATTATTATACGTCCTCACATTTCCATTAGAATGTGCTGAGCATGTACAAGGGTGGTAGCGATGGGGAAATCGGGACGGTGGTGGCAAAAAGTGGGACAAGCAGGTGTTGGTGGTAGAAAGGGAGATGGCGTGGTGGCGTAGGGCAGAAGAGAAAGGAGAATGAAATTATTTTTCCATTTTCTTTTTGTTTGTCTAACGGTTTTTTTTCCCTTATAATATCTGGTTTAGTATTCGACTTGTTGATTAAAATCATGCTTTCAACTGTCTCGAGTACTAGTGAATGTTTTTTAGTGTTTGTCATTTTTTTTTCTTTTTGGAATTTGTTAACTTTTTTAACCTGTGCCACTCTTTTTTTGTTCTTCGATTGTTTGTCACTTATTATTTAATGTTTGTCACTTTTTTCTTTATTTTCTCACTTTTTTTTTTTTTTCAAATTTGTGTATCTATTTTTAGACAAAGATAAGGATTCATTTGAAGAGGCAAAGATAGATGGATATAAAGGATTGATAAGCAAACAAGGATGGTTTTTAAATCATGACATTTTGCATTCCTAAAGTAACTTTTTTTAGTGTTTGTCACTTATTATTTTGTCATTTTTTAGTGTATCACTTTCTTTTTTCTTTTTATAGGAATAATTCCTAAAAAATGTTGGTTTAAAGCAAATGTTAAGTTATATTTAATAAATAGTTTAGTCACTTTATTGTACTGATTTCAATGTTTTAATTGGTGTTTTGTAACTTTTTTGAGTGTTAACACTTTTTTTATTTTTGAATATTTGTCACTTTTTTTTTTGAATATTTGCCATTTTTTTTTTTTTGAAATTTTCACTTTTTTTTTATATTTTTTATCACTATTTTTATTTTTAAAATTCTTGGTCACTTTTTTGAGTAATAAATATCTCTTTTTATTAATTTTACTGGTATTTTTGTAAGTTGCTCGATGGATTACTCCTACTCAAAGATTATTTTTGCCTGGAGTGATTTATAATTGATTTACACTATAGATAAATGAAAATGAGTAATTCACAAAATGTATAAATAAAATTAATTTGACTGATTATAAATAAATTATAGAAAGTTTCACCAAACTAACTCAAGACTTTTTAAATACAATATATCAAATGCATCTTTTAAGATTTTCTCATTAGAACAAGAGAAATTATTCATCAAATAAAAAATAAAATTAATCTTATGTTGTTAAAACCTTTTATGGATTATAAGTTATAGATGTTATAAAATATATCGATAAAATAAATATAAACTATGAATGCTATGAAATGCATACAAAAACAGCGCTGGTTTAGAAGTTTGAAAATGCTGTATCAAACATAATGACTAGATTTGAATCATTTTAACACATCGTTGTACCTTTCTCGGATAATCCGTTTGGTTCACATTAAATTAAATTTCATTATTTTTTATTTTATTTTCAATCACACAATTTTTTATAAAATAATATTATACGTAAATTGAAATTTTTTCTTCTTTTTCAACCGCTCATTTTTCACAAAAATACTGTTTCACTCATTTTAATTTTAAAAAATGGGGGACAAAAACGGGGGTAAAATTTCTTGTTGAGGAGGTTAAAATAAAGGAGAAGGAAAAAATATAAAAATAAAATGTAAAAAGCAATAAGGCGCACGTTAGTTTTTTTTCAGTTAGAATTCTCAACGAATCATTTCATTATTATTTAAACGGTTAATACAGCCCACTCCGATTCTCTCTGTCTCCCCCTCCACAATAGAAAAACAAAACAAAAATCTGAAGCTGAATTGTGTCAGCAATGGCGATCGCAGCTGTGGTAGTTCTGCCATTAGGTCTACTCTTCCTTCTATCTGGCCTCATTGTCAACTCCATTCAGGTACATTCACAACCCATTTCATTTCTCCCTGTCTCAAAGTAATCAGTTTCTTTTTTTTTTTTTTTTTTTGGGAATCTTATCAAGCATGTTGTGTTCGATCAATGTGTAATGAGATCAAGGAATCTGTGTGCTGGGATTTGTTTATTTCTACGTTTCATCAATGGTTCCTGGTTTCTTTGTGCACGTTATAGAATCATTGATTTTGCTAGCTTGTGAATGCTATTTTGACATGATGCTTTATTATGGATCTTCATCTTGTAATACATATACACCTTAAACTTGGGTATGAATACACTAAAAATAAATAATTAATCGTTGATTCATAAATTTCTCTTAAATAATAGATAGCCTCGTGATAATTACTATTGACATGTAAATGTTGTATTGAAGCCGCAGCCATATCTGGTTTAACAGGGAAGAAATGGGGCAGTGCAGTTTAAGCAATAATATTCAGGTTTATAATCTGGTTTAACGAAAACAATTTGCTGCGATCAGTGTGAATGATGAAAATGATCAACCGATAAAGGCATTTGATGTTGGGCCCTGATGGGGTTGGATGGGCTGAAGGGGTGTTGTTTAGTGTGAAGTTGGGAGAGTCATATCTCAAAAGCTAGCCATTGAAGTTGGAGAGTCCAAGCAAAGGAAGCCCATATTTTTGACGTGGAATTCAAACTCCTATAAGTTCCACCAGAACCATGACAAACCACCACGCTTCGGACCCCGATGCCACATGGGGCTGGCGTCCATTCACCAACCAGGGTCTCGAGACGCGATGCTTGCTTTGACGATAATGTTATAGCTTGGAAGAGCCATAATTGGAGAGTCCAAACCTATAAACCACGCAAAGGAAGTCCATACTTCCAATGTGGAATTCAAACCCTTATAAGTTCCACTGGAACCATGTCAAGTAGAATTTAAGCACCCAATATGATACTGCATCTCTGTAAGAGAGAAAGTAAGCTTTAGGTTCTTATTCATGGATCGTCGGTTTCAAGGTCTGCTGTGACAAGTGCCCTTTCGATCTAGAGAGTTTGTCGGGTGCCATTTTGAACACCACTAGAATGCAAATTCACCTGTAGCTTTATTTTGGGGGATTTAAATGAATTAACATAGACTGATGTTAATGGCCTGGGCAATTACATAAGATTTCTTATGAAGGAGGTTGGTGCAGCTTCTAGGTTAGGGATTACGCCTTTACAATGATGTCAATTTCTAGGTTCTGCAGATCATGTTTTTCCTATTTCTATCCCATTCTTCAAGTTTTATTATTTCTTGTTTCCAAATGCCTTTTGACAGATGGTTTTAGCCACATAGTGATTGTAAAAATATATAAATCCACTTCCATAAAACTATGATGAGAAAGACATTTATAATAGTTGTTAGAGGATATGATCATTGCAGGACGAAATCCATGTCCTTGATTGGATACTTTTCTACAAATTTTGTATCTTACATTACCTTTTCAGGCACTTCTCCTTGTCCTTGTTCGCCCTATCTCAAAGAACACTTACAGAAGGATCAACAAAGAAGTCACAGAACTACTGTGGTTGGAGGTCATTTGGCTTTTCGATTGGTGGGCAAACATCAAGGTTTTTAAAAACTATTCTAATGTTCTCCATTCATTCTAATTTGTTGTTACACGTCCTAAAAGTCATGATCCTTCTTAAGGAAATAGCTTCTCATAATTAAGGAATTGCATCAAGTGTCTTTTGCAACAATAGGAAAAATTAGTTTGCCAGATCCTATTCAAGTTTTATCTGTACAAAGTTCACAAGAAGTAGACTTCTTTTTGGATTCAAGTATGGTCTGGGTATTTGCCCTGTCAAATTTTGATGTTTAATGTTCAGAATTTAAATATTTAGGCATTCATATTGCACCAATTTTATCTTCCTAAATGTTCATATGTTTTCCTACACCTCTTCTGGTATAAATTTTTAAAAATGTCAAGGTAAGATGTTCAATTAATTAATCTGAAATTGCATGTAGCTAAATTTTGGATGTCAAACTGAGCTGTTATCCAAGTATTTTTCCATAGTACTTTATAAATTTTAGTTTCAGCGTTAAATACAGAAACTTGAAAATTAAGTCTTGACATCTCAGTAAGCTTTTAGTCATATTATTGTTTCCATAAGTTGTTTGTCTTGGGATAACTCGACTTCCAAATGCAGAAACCACTAAATTCATTATATTGGCTTGATTCATTACATGATCTAAATTCTTGCGAGAAGTTGATTTTGTTGCTAAGTAAATCGAGGCACCACTTGTGTGCTTAAGTGGATTCCAAACCTATTTCAATTGCATAAGTGGATTGTCTATCAAAAAATGATTGTGTGAAGAAAGTATTTGTTAATATAATGTTTGTTCATGTATGAAGGACTTGAATAAAGTTTTACAGGTGTTAAAGTACCATGAATGAAGATAAAAAAAAAGTGATACATAATTATCTTGCTGGTTTTATGTTTACTGTTGAACAGGTTGAGCTATACACAGATCTTGAAACTTTTGAATTAATGGGTAAGAAATTTAACCTTACCCTGTGCATATGTGCAATTCTTCTAATAAGTCTGTTACATTTAGATCTAGAAAGAACTGCTTTACTGCACTAATTTGAATTTGTGAAAATTTCAGGTAAAGAACATGCGCTTCTCATTTGTAACCACAAAAGTGACATTGACTGGCTTGTTGGATGGGTCTTAGCTCAGGTTTTTACCTGTTTGAATTAAAATACTTTTCAGTGATTTTTAGATTTTCACAGTGCTTCCGATTGAAAATTTTCCTGAAACTATCTAGAGAAATAATTTGATTTGCTTGGATTTCTGAATAAAAGTTAAGAATCCTCTTTAAAGGTTCTCAACAGCACCTTCACCCCTGCCCACTTTTTGCCGTATGTATCTGGATTTTTTTTTTTAATAAAAGGCTCATGTTTCAGAAATTTACATTAGCCTCTATACCGAAATGATCTCTTCAAATAGGAGGCACGTAGTATGTTAGTTATGATTGTCAATACACAAGCAGCAGCATCATGAATACATGCGTTATTTTCATTATAAGGAAATTTAGTATACACAGTTCATGTATTGGGTTGCTTTTTTCCCCCCCTTCTCATGAGTGGAATTGCATGTTTTTCTTTTGACAGCGTGCAGGTTGCCTTGGCAGCGCCCTAGCTATAATAAAGAAATCAGCATTATTTCTACCTGTGAGTTTCCTTATATCATGCTAGCTGTTTAATCTTATTTTGGAACTGAAACTTCCTTAATTTATTGATAATTCGTGATATTTTGAAGAATAGGGGGAGATAGACCAATGTGACCATAGTTGGTCACAAAAGTTTCAGAACAGATCGCTTCAAATTAAATGAAGTGTTGAAAAGAATATGTTTTATTTCTTGTTTTTGTACCTATTAGCCTAAAGCTTTTTCCTGCCCTCATTTGTACTTTTACCTACCACGCTGCCAATCAAAGCAGAAAAGTAAAATCAAATAATGGTAATATGAACTAATAAGGGGAAATTTATCATAAAGCATAGAAAGATTTCCCGTTGAGTAACATACCCTTAATTAGTCCGTTGTTGATATTTCCTACAAGACAAGTCTTTCGTGTTCATCAAGGGACATATGTTGAGTAGTAAACTTGATTTTTGGACTAAATAATATGGGCTTAAGAATTTTGCTTATAGGCCCAAATCAATTAAAAGGCCCAACATGCATAGCATTTCTAGAAGCATTATCTAGAACAATCTATATAAATATCTAAGTAAGATATGTAGTTTTATAAAGAATATCTAGAGAATTCTAAGAAAATATCTTGATATGTGGTTTAGGTGTCTCTAGAAAATGTGTGGACTAGAATCTTCTTGTAAACACTATATAAAGGGGTAGTCCCTCCATTTTGTAACAAGCCAAAAAGTGTGTAAAGTTTTGAATTTGAGAAATACAAGTTCCCTTTTTCACTTCCTTCTTCCTATTAGTGTTGTCCTCTTAAAAACCTTAACTAATCCAAGTTAGTAAACCCATCTTTCCTCCAATAAACTGGTATCAGAGCCCCAAGGTTCTTGTGAAAAATGGCAAGTGGGATGATTCCTTTTCAAGTCCCCCAACTCAACAAGGATAACTACGACAATTGGAGTATAAGGATGAAAGCATTGCTCGGGTCGCAAGATGCATGGGAGATCGTAGAGAAAGGCTACACGGAGCCACAAGACGAGGTTGCTCTATCCCAAGCACAAAGGGATAGTTTGAAGGATGCAAGGAAGAAGGACAAGAAGGCGCTCACCCTCATCTATCAAGCCTTAGATGAAGGCATGTTCGAGAAAGTAGCTTGTGCTACTACAAGTAAGGAAGCATGGGAGATCTTGCAAAACTCCCACAAAGGAGTTGAGAAGGTGAAAAAGGTTCGACTTCAAACACTTCGAGGTGAGTTTGAAGCTTTACATATGAAAGAATCGGAATCAATTTCTGATTACTTCTCTAGAGTATTAGCTATTGTGAATCAATTAAAAAGGAATGGAGAAAAGTTGAACGACACTCGAGTAATTGAGAAGATAC